GAGAGGTTTTTGGACAAAGTTTGTGTTCTCCATTCTTTAAGCACCGGCACCGTTTCAAAAGTACCGATTTGGCACCGGTATCGGATAAAACCTAAACGATACCCATCCCTAGTTATGGGTGTAGCTTGCTAAGAAAACTGTATTTTTCTAATAATGCAGCACTCGACCCTCTTGTCTAAGTATGATTACCTCTGGCTCCAAAGAAACAAAAACTAACCTAAACTAAAGAAAAAAAAATGAAAATGTCAGTGACCATAAATTTAGAGTCAAGGCTTCAAAATATCAGAAACATCATGGTTGCATCCATCCACACATCAGGCTGATAAACACTGGGACTAACCATCAGACACTGCTGCAAGTGAGGCCATTTTTTTTATTCTTATGGAAGGCTGTCTATGTTGCTGGGGGTTGCCATTCAAAATTTTGAATTGTTTTCTTAGACGTTTTGAGTTAGTAAGTTAAAAGTTTTAGATACCGAATACAAAATTGTAGATGATGACACAAATTTTCGACTTATGATCGCAAAAATTGTTTATTTCTCTCTTTCCATCAATCTATCCATCTATCTCACATTCCTTTGAACTGCTGCATGATGGAGAGGAGGTGTTCGCTGCGTTTCTGGATGTTGCTCTGCTCCTCCTTCAGTCTCTCCTGCTCCTGTAACACCTCCTCCTGAGGAGAGACACATCACACACATCAAATTTAACACTCCCACATATCTCAAATAATGACTAACTGATGAACAGGACTGCATGTACAACAGTTTACCATGGATTTTTGTCTGCTAAGCTGTCATAAAGACACCTTAAACTGAAAATAACATCAGTGATTTCACATTCTGATCGTTTCCCAAAGCCAGCGCTGGAAACAGTGAAGCTGTGATGTGCAACACAGTGTGGACGTAAACCAGGAAGTTAGAAAACTTATTTTATTTGTTTAATGACTGTCTTGTTTCCTGTTTACATGCATGAAATGCAAAAATATGTTAGTGAAGCAGAGTGTGCGTGTGTGTTAGTGTGTTTGCTTGTTTTACTGACTCTGAGTCTGCAGAGCTCCCTCCTCTCTCGGTCATTCTCCTCAGCTCTCGCTCGAAGCCAAGCTTCATTCTGAGAGCGATGTCTGTCCAGCATCTCCTGCAGCTCCTGACACACACACACACACACACACACACACACACACACACACACACACACACACACACACACACACACACACTTGTGTAAATACAGTATATCCTGGGTCTAAACACCTGAAATATGAACATGGCAGACGAAAGCAGAATTGCACAATAAAATTGCTCTATTAAGTAAAATAAATCATAAAACAGATTAAAACATTTTACAAAAAATATTAGAAACAATATATCACTGATTAACATGTGATTAGGTTTAAATAACTAGATCATACGGGATTGCACTACATTTACTGACTTCCTCTCATGCATTGAATTATGTTAGTGATCAGATAAAAATGTAATGGATTCATGGTAGATTAGATTAATGGGTTAGAGTGTGTAAGAGGTTAATGGGTTAGATTAGGATTAAATGAACTTAATGTAACAAGAACCAGGATAAAGTTCCTGATTTGTTTTTAAATTCATTTCCAGTTTTTACTGTTAAACTTTGAAAGGTGTTTTAACTTTTGGGTCTGAGCAGCTTAAATTTAGTCCTCAAATACTGTTCCAGCATTTTGGGATCACAAGCAGAAACTTACAATACACCAATCACAGGTGGTCCACTCAGGGGGATTCACAGGACTAAAACAGGAGTCACTAGTGGTCCTGTGTTCACTTCCTGCCCTCTTGTTGCTTTAGAGCTTGATGCCAAACTGCACATACAATGACCTCGCCTTCTTGGGTCATTTTCGTAACATTTCTGCACAAGCAGATCAAAGCAGCGGATCCATAATTTGGCTCGGCAGCAGCATGAGGTCACTCCATTCAAGGAGGATGAGAGGTGAAAGGTTCAGGTTTGAGGCCTGAAGCCTGTACATGTAAATCTAAAGAGAGAGGCAGGTCAGCAGAGTCACTGACCTCTTTTCCATCTCATTCTTTCCGGAGTTTACTCGATTTTATTGCCCTTCTTGTATTTATCCGTTTAAATAATCTGCTGTATATTTTAAACAGTATTGTTTTTCCTCTTTTTTGATTTTACAATCTGCACCCTTGTCTTGTGTATCCCAAGTTTCTGTAAATATTCTTAGTAAATAATAGTTAGTTACCAGTTTCAGCTTAGATTACATTCACATTGACCCATTTATCTGGAGCTTTTACACATTAATAGCACCATCCTTATACCAGGAGTACAGAATAACTGTAAAGACTATATATCTACAAGGTTTCTGAAACTATACTCATGTAGCATGCAGCCTAAACCTGCCCCAGCCCCCGGGGACTTCACTGTTGACTTGGTGGATGTTAGAAGGCTGTTGAACCTGTTGTTGTTGTTGTCTATGTGCTTCATGAGCATCTTTCTCTCTTTGCAGAGCAGCTGCAGCTTTAGTCAGCTCTGACTTCTCTCTGAAAGAAAAAAAAACACATTCAGCCATTCAGGATGAGCACAGGAAATACGATGTTTAGAGGTGAGGCAGTTAAACCTTTAGCCTGATGAGCTCCTACAGTGGGTCACCTCATGCATGTTCTTGCCTTCTGAGTTGTAGTTAAATGTGTAAATGAAGATGTGCATGTACCGATCTAGTTTGTGGAACTCCTGGTCCAGCAGTGTGAATGCTGTTTGGATCATTGTCATTGCCTGATCACGCACTGCGCTGAAGTCTCTGTGGACAAACACCTGCAACAGGAAATGCAATTTTATCTGCGTTGCATAGTAACCAGAGTTTCACCCTGGTCTTCCAACCCTCTGAATCTGCATGACTTTTTACCACCATTTGAAAAGAATGAATGAAGGCGAGTGTATTATGTTGACACCTGTGGATTCACCATCGTGTTCTTCTGCTGGACGGATGGAGCTGCCTCGCTCAGCTCGTAGCGGACGTTGGGAACTTTTGTGGGAGTGAAGCTGTTAACGGTCAAAACCAGAATGAAACCAGTGAGTTAAAACCGAGATATGAGACTCAAACAGAGCATGACAAGAGGCTCAAATGGCGCACACACACACACACACACACACACACACACACACACACACACACACACACACACACACACAC